ACCCATGCAGCGGTGTTTGGATATTTGAGCAGGAAACATTTAGCATCTGGGCTTCAAATGTTCTTGTTGAAAATCGGAGTACCACATACATGCTTCGAGATAGCATTGACATGGTCAACAGGTGAAGATCAGACTCTGGAGACACAAAGGATCCATCAGGAATAACTTGAAGAATAGGTCTTACAATTGCCTCATGGAAGAAGGGATAACTTTGCTGAAAAGGAATCTATAACAACAAGTCCTCTGGCCAGGTGTGATAGGCATGACATCACCTTACCGATATATAAGGACCAATGTAATAATTCTTGGAAATATGTTCCGACCATCATATCTGACCGAGATTCAGATCTGATTGGTGCCAGGATGCCTCAGACTCGGGATGCCTGAGAAGAAAAGGTACAACACAATTGACGAGATGACATTGTAAGATTCTCGGGAAATGTACTATGGAAGCGAGTTCCGAAACAAGAGTTCATCATTAAAACCAAGGAGAGGATGAAGAGGTGGCTGATGAACTCAACGACAATTCATTGAGATTTTCAAAAGATGGATTTCCACACTTATGTGAACAAGGAGATAACATTTGTCGGATCAAATGATATAAGGATGTATGCTCGAGAAAAACATACACAATTAAGCATTGGTTGAAAAGTGGACCCAGAATATGGTCTTAGGTAGCATGATCAATGTTAGAAAGGTGATTCAACAAGCAATAGTCTAAGAATGAAATATCGACCATTAACTTGAAAGCAATAGGGTTGCTAGAAACACGAACAAGTTTGTGTTGAATAGAAGGCAATAAAGTGGTCGATGATAACACAAACCATCGAGGGCAAGGAGGGTACTTCTCATCATGAATTCAATTGATATCTTGGAAGGGGTCAAAATGTTGATGATGATCACGACACATTTTGTCGAGAGGTTTCAAGAAGATGTAACCGATCGGCGATGACATCAAGTTAACGGAATGATGAAGTGAGAAGTTATTGAAACCATAGGTACGACACAAACTTGAAATCAAGCTTGTCATTCAAGGACAATTGTTATGACGAGGAAGATCGACGTAAGATTAGCTCACCTCGAAATTTTTGCTCTAGGAAGAAGGACCAGGTAGCACAGTTAAAATCAGCATGACAAGAATATAGCCAAGCAGGCTAGGAATGACGTGATCGAGTTCAAACTCATAAGTCATGAAGGTTACCATGATTTGTTTAATCGCGGTGCAGACTTCAGTCAGTTATCGGTGTCTTTGAGTGTTTAATAACTCAGAGCCCGTGAAAAATTGGAATCAGTGAGAATGTAGCACTTGATGAAGAACTCATAAGAAGTATGTAGTTCCATGATAATCTCGAGATACCAGGGTGTAATACTCGACGACAAGTCATAGTAGAGGTTGGAATAGGGTAATGCTCTGCAGAAGACAAGTGCTCAAACTTGCACGACAAATGGAATCAAGGGGAAACATGGTCGGAACCATATCCACAGATACAAGATGAACTTATAACAAGTGGATAATTATTTTAAGAGAAGCTTCCATGATAAGGTATACATCGTTTCCATGGGCATGAACACAGGGTTCAAGGTCGACTCCCACTTGTTCAACGCATAACCTTTCATTTACCTCTCGTATTTTGAAAATGACATTAGTTGTTGAAAGTTTTACCTGGTGCAATACCAGATAAGTATGACCTGTGAAATCTTTCGGGTTTGCACAGATTAGGGGAGGCATTAGTTCAAACCATCGGGTATCTTAGGAACATATATCACAAACTTCGGGAGTAAATAACACAAGCTCGAAAGTAGAGCATGGTTGACAAGGCAGAGGATACAATTTACCAAAGGCATTATATACCTGTGGAAAGGTTCACAAGGTTATTGAATATTAAGGACGATGTCGGATGAAATCCAACAATGGATCTGACGATCCACAACGGAGCTGATGTGAGTATCAGTACTCTACCAGAAGAAGAAAGAATGCAAGGGGATCAGATGATAGAAACAACCGACTAACTCAAAGCTCAATTTCACATGAATTATGATTCCAAGACAAGGGATCAGAAGCAATGCTCTGAATAGGGATGGATAAGTTGAATAGTATTAGAGGTACAATCGTCGGCAATTTGATTGGTCGAGGTCCAGCTCATGTTCAAAATGACAACTGAGCCGGAAAGATAATTTAAAAGGATGAATTGACGTTTGCGCGCATTCGCTCACATGTTGAATCAATAGGATCAAAATGACGGTGTCAAAGGATACTAATGAATATCGCTAGACATATGGGAAGCATCCATAATGCAAGCAGACAAGTATTTGCAGAGCAATAGTTTGGAGAGGATCCTCGGAAGATCGGATAGTATTTTCGAGTATCTTATGAAGCATACGAACAACTAGGGATGAACAGATACTCGATAAGTGCGAGGAATTATCCGTAGGGGGTATTCATGCGGTAAAGGACTGCAAGGCAGTAAACTCAAAGGATTCTCGGGACAACGGAGAGTATTTCGGGGCATCTTGGAATAACAAGAGCAACGGAAAATGATTGTATGAATGGCAAGTGTATGCCGTTATCCATATGGATATATCGGTATTAGGGTATTGAAAAATCAGAGGGCACAAGGGTCTCGGGAATGATCGAAGAGTATCTTTAATATCTTCTGGTGAAGCAAGCGATCATCTGGAGTGAGGGGCTCCCCGGGAAAAATTATTTTCGAGAACCTAAAATTAGTCCTTTTAGCAAAAATCATTTAACCCGAATAGGAGAGAGATCAGAGTCCCAGAGTATAGACGAGGAGTAAAAGATCCTAATACCACCCAATGCCAACGTGGGCCCGTAAGGCGCACATCCATGTTAGTAAAAGTTTTGTAACGACTAGACTCAACTTCGGCCAAGGAGTGTGGAAGGGGGATTCCTACAGGCAGTCGGCTCTGATACCAACTTGTGACGCCCTCGATTCAATCGTACACTAATCATACACGCAAACGTGTACGATCAAGATCAGGGACTCACGGGAAGATATCACAACACAATTCTACAAATAAAATAAGTCATACAAGCATCATATTACAAGCCAGGGGCCTCGAGGGCTCGAATACAAGAGCTCGATCATAGACGAGTCAGCGGAATCAACAATATCTGAGTACAAACATAAGTTAAACAAGTTTGCCTTAAGAAGAGCAGAAAGTCCGTCAGCGACAGATAGGAATAAAAAAGGGAGGGTAATGGATCGCCTTGCCGTAAACCAGAGGACGATACAAATGAATCCAAGATGGTCCCATTAGATTTCAGAGAATATCTCACCAACTTGACATAAGACATTATTCAGTCTACCCATGGACGAGGGAAACCCAACTTTTGCACCACTTGTTCCAAGAAGTTTCAATCCACCCTATCATATGCCTTCGAGATCTCCAACTTATAGGCGCAAAAACTCTTTGTGGATCTTTCTCTTGCTTGATATCATGAATGCATTCAAAGAGTACTTTGGGCAGGGGTGATATCAAAGAAGGAGAAATGTGGCTTTCAAAGAGTACAATATCATTGTTTTGTTCTAATATCTAGATAGTATTTTGGACGGGGTAGCTAGTCTTTTGGACAAGGACAACTTTTGTATTTTGGCGCCTAACCATAGTATTTTGTGGGCTAAGTGTACGAGTGAAATGGCTTGTCTGTTCTTACTTGAATGATTGTTCAGTGCCACCACTTGTTGCTAAAAATAAATTATTTGCTGAGTTCAAATTTAAGTTTTAAGTGGTCCTTACTTCTAATGACAAGTGCTACTGAATTCAAGACTGATTAAGCATAGCTGTAGAGTACTACAGTAAGTCGGAATTTATGTGTTGTTGATTTCGTATAACATATAGACTGTTGTTTTCCATTACTGCTAAGTGCAGAATGCGCATTGTTGGGTGGTTCCAAACTGAATTTCACTATTGATGATTCAGTACAGGACATTGGTCTGTTGTCGAATTCCTGAGCAATCCCAAGTCTGAATCTTTTTTTATTGAAAACTATCAGTTGATGTTCTGTTGTCGAATGCCTTAGCAATCCCAAGGTTGAACCATTTTTTACCGAAGGTCGGTGCTGCGCTCGATGCCTGAAAAAATGTAAGTTTGCTGGTTTTTTAATTGAGGCAAGTGTTTTTTGGCATCAACCTTACTTCTTTATTTATTAAGATATAAAACAGGAATTTCATCCGAAATAACACGCAAAATACAATCCGGGGTACTTCGCCCTAAAATTCAGAAACCTTACTACCAACATCTTGTTTTCCTACCCTGCAAAAAGAACACCCAGTTTTCCTAACACATGGACAGCCCATTAGCTGATCGTCGGATCCAACTAACTTTGTGCTCTTGATCACGGCGACATCTATGGTTCATCCATCTCTATGATATTTTTTTATACCACTTCATGTGGACTATAATC